CGCGCACTTGCATTGCGCAGCGCCTAGCTGTTCAAGCTGCCCCAGCTACCCTCGCTGGCATAGCTGCTGCCTTGCCAGAGGCGTTGAGTGCGTGTGCGAGCCAATTGGCCAAAGTTATTTCATCATCTTTTCGGGTACGGTGCCGTTGGGTGCCCCCGCCCCCGTCCCGCAGCATGGCACGGACGCACTCTCTGGGTTTTCTAGTCTGAGGCTGCGCAGGCCGCGCCGCTTGTGAGTGCCTTGTTGGTGGAAAGTTGTTGAATGTTCTCCCATCTCCCATCTCTCAGTCCAGGTCTGCGCATCATGAGAGTGCGGGTGAAGCTTTCACACTTCCAGTGGTCCTTGTGCCCACAGAATCTAGAGCAGGCCGTCTAAAGCTTTGTAGCTCTGGCACTATGTGCACTTTAGATTTAGGCTGGTCGGGACGAACTAAGACTAACACCGACCAGAGACATTCCGCCAGACACTGGCTCCTGGTTTCTTGGCGCTTCTTTTCGGAGTAGCGCCGGTCGGAGGGCTGATGTGCAGGGAGGGTTAGGGTTGACTTGCAGGAATCGGGGTTGCTGTGCAATAGAGCATCGGAGAGGTTAAGGTTATGCGTGTAGGAGTGGAAGAGATGTCTCAAACGGAGTGGCCCCTATGCCTACAGAGCTCTAGCTCTGGCCATGCCAATGCCACAGCATGTGATTTCCTCCTCGTTGGCTCAAGCCTTCGCGAGTGCATCGCATCCGGGTGCGGAGCCTGCAGAGCCATGCTAAGTGCATGTAGCTAGAACTGCACGGAGGACCCAGACCAAACGTGTGGAACATGACTTCTGCACAAGCTTGCCGACCTAGCACAGGGCAGGCGTCGCACAGCCGTCCATGCGCAGCAAGCACCCTAAGCACATGGTAAATGGACGTCGGAAAATGCTGGCATGGGCATGGGAGGAGCCCCTCCTCGAACATGATCTCACTCGGCTCCAAAGCTCAGCCGCTCAGCCGCTCAGCCCTGCAGCTGGCCGCTGGCCGCCCTTTCAAGGCTTTTCCATTCCCAGCTCATAACTTCCTGCCCCCCCTGCCCCCCCTGCCCTTTTTGTGGCATCCCATGGTACCGACACAGACACACCTATGCCTCGGCTTCAGAACGCAAACAGGCATTGAGCTTCCTGTACTGAACCTATGTATCAAGTCTGTTCGCTAGTGCCCTGCAGTTTCGTACAGTCTCATGCGACAGTCTGTGAGACTTCATGGTCCCAGCTCCGCCCAAGCAGCTTCCCGCATCTTTGACTTCAGGCTGTCATGTGGCTTCAACCTGCCTCAACCAGAACTGCTTAGCTGCCTGGCGTTGAGCCTGCCTTCTGCCAAGGTGGACTAGCACTCACGAGCGCTCACAGCCCGAGAGTCAGAGCCTGGCATCGGCCACAGAGGGTCTTTTGCATCCGACCTTCCGCCCCGTTCGCCTTGCTCCGCCCGGCGTCGCCTTCTCCCTCCTTGCGCTGCCTGGAAGAAGTAACGCAGGTTGCACATGGCACATGCACGAAAGCTCAGCAGCTGATTGTCCGAACTCTTCAGCTTGCAGAGCCTTGACGCAGGATGAAGCCCTGCACTGTGACATCGCGTGGCGCCTGAGAGCTTGCAAGCGGCGATGCAGAAGAAGACTTCGCCGAGGCCACAGGTGCAGTGAGGCGTTGCAGCAAGTTTCCAAGGCATTCAGTTTCGATCCCTCGGGGCCCTAGCATGTCGGGTAAAGAAATCACGAGGCTCACGTTTCAGGTGCTTCGGTTTGTTGGCCCCGCCGTGTCTCGTCTCCCTCCGACCGATGCCCAAGTCCTGGGATGTGGGTGCCCCGCACTCGCAAATTCAAGCTCTTTGGCATGTAGATCAGTCTGCAGCGTACACCTCAAGTCAGGGTATGTCAGGCGTCGGCTTCCTTCCGGCCCCTCTTTGCTGCCTTGTGCTCCGGCACAGTCCCTGGCATCTCATGTCAGCATGTCTCAGGGTAATTTTTCATCAACGCAGTACCCGAGCGCCTTTTCTTTGCAGGCGCCATGTCTTGGCCCCTCCGATGTGCAGCTGCTGAGATGCGGGTTCCCCGACCTCTGTTTGGCGCACACTTGCATTGCGCAGCGCCTAGCTGTTCAAGCTGCCCCAGCTACCCTCGCTGGCATAGCTGCTGCCTTGCCAGAGGCGTTGAGTGCGTGTGCGAGCCAATTGGTCGAAGTTATTTCATCATCTTTTTGGGTACGGTGCCGTTGGGTGCCCCCGCCCCCGTCCCTGGGCCCTTAAAGCCTTAAGGCCCAAAACCCCAAAAAAAGCCGAGGTTGTCCCCAAATCTTCGAGAGGTTAACGACTTCCCGGAGGAGGATGTCCGTCCTCCGCTCTCTGCCAGGCCCATGAGCGATGGCTCCACGCCTACTTAGAGGATCATGGGACTTAGTAAGTAAGGTTATAAGTACCTTAATTGGGGTTATAAGTATAGTTACCTTACTTATAACCCCAGTTACTAAGTCCCATGATCCTTTAAGTACCTTTTGCCTCCTAAACTCTTATAAGGTATATATGGAGTGTTTAGGGACCCAAAAATACCCAAACCCGACATTCCTTAGGGTTTTAGGCGAGCCTTCGGGCTTAGGGCGAGTCGACCGCTGGCCGCTGGGCTGGAGCTTAAGGGGATATGCTTTTTAGGCTTGCAAGCTGAAGTTCACCCATGGGACAATCACGTAAACCTGCAGCGAGAGTCAGCCAAAGGGGGATATGCGTAGACGAATCGGCGCAACTGGGATCGAGCCCGCCAGCTCGAGAGCGGAAGGGGATGCTTCCCGGACTCCAAGTCTTGCCTTGAAGCCTTTTGTTGCAGGGTGTTGGGCTTCTCAACCAAGAGCCATTTGGCGTCAATTCCAAGGAGCTTGTGCAGGATGCTTGAAGGCTCATTCCCCAGGCCTGGGTTCAAACATCGGCCTTCGGGAGAGCGGAGTATCGGAAGCGCTTGCGGCTGCTACAGTACACTGTCCGACATCCTTTGGCCAGGCACCAAAGAAGCATCCCTGACTGTAAAGATTCCCGAATGCTGGTGCCTAGGCTGAGGTCTTCAAAGTGTAATACGTGGCTTTATCTTTTGAGCCAAGCCCAGACACAAGGACCTAGGGCACTCGATGATCCGATGTAGGAGCGCCGAGCATTGCATGAAGCTGGTGGATCTTCTCAGCGCAGGGACCCAGAGAGCTGCAGAGCCAGAAACGCGCGGCAGCCACCCTTCCTTCCTACTCGCGATCGCTCGTCACGTCCAAGGCGACTTGTTGAGACCTGGCTTTGCACGAGGACTTGTGGACAACAACGGGCTTGATGAAAGACGGCCGCGGTGTTACAAAGCATAGTACGGAACATATGGCACTTCATAGTCGAGTTCAGTACACTGTCGTATATAGACGAGTACTATAGTAGCTTAGTAGCTCCGGTAACTAGGGCTCTCCTGAGCCACTTCTCGCTTCTTGCACCATTATAAGGTTCAGTCAATAGTAGTAGTCGGGAAGTAGTAGAAGTAGTAGAAATAGTGGTAGCAGTCGTCCTCGTCGTAGTCGTAGTCCTCGTCGTGGTCGTCGTAGTCGTCGTCGAAGTAGCAGTAGTAGTAGTAGTAGTAGTAGCTGCTCAAGCGTTTGCGACAAAACTAGCCCAGACTATTACTGTTGCCACTTGCAGCCCTGGGGCGATCTTATGGCTGAGCGGCCCATGCAAAAATCGCGCAACAAAACAAAATGAACCATCAGAAATCCCGGATGAGCGAGCAAAAACAAAATCAGCGTTCAGCTTTCTAGATTCGTAGCACTCTGACAAACAAAAGACACAACCAATCCCCATGCCTGTAGAGATCCACCCTCAAGCCGAACTTGGGCGTAGAATTGGCGACGCAGCAAAGTTGCCACATCTTTGGGGCCGGCACCTGTGCCAGTAGTCTAGTCAGGGATTCAGCTTGGGGGTTCGGGGGATCGATGAAGGGATTCGGTAGCTTCACGTAGTATGCCGATGTATACATGCATTTACAATTTATGCCACAAGGGTGTAAGCTGGAGGCCAAGTCTATAATCCTCTGAAAAACAATCTGGGCCTCATATTTGTTTGGGCAGCGGTTTATACATACAAGGCACATATGCGTATACACATTTAGAAATTTTGTAGATTTGTACAGATAACAAAAACTATATATGTATATATAAGTGGGGTTGTCGTTTGATTGCTTCACTCCTCTGTGACATACGATTGCAGATCAGATGATGCGCTTTCGAAGCCGCATGTTTGTGCTTATATTTTTATGTACATGCATATACACCTAGGGTGTGCCTGCATATACCTATCGTGTATGCACGCATAATGTGTAAGTATATATATATATATATGGTCTGGGCGTGTGTGCGTGTGTGTGATATGCGACACGTACATGACGTACACATAAACATGCGTGCATGCATGCAAGCGGAATCTGAAAGCACACTGGGTTGAAGGAACTGACCTCCCACCCCAGCAGCACTGCCACATGTAAAAGTCATAGAAACCCGAGTTTTCCTGTAGAAAATGACACTGTTACCAACCACAAACCCTTGGAACGCCGTAGGCTTTCTGCCCTATCATAAGAAAAGTGGAGCCGATACCATTAGAGCCGGCACGCGGTAAATGTGGTTTCAGGTTCCCTCTCAGTAACAGTTGGATAATATTCATAATATAGATATATTAGGCCCTTAATAGTAGCCGTATTATAAACTGTTACTGTATCGGGGCCGTACCCAAGTTTCAGGTGTCTTGAAAAGCTGACTGCCTGCCAGCATGGAACCTCTCGAGCTCGAGCCACTTTCTTGGGGAGCCCAAATTTTGGTTTAGGGTTTGGGATGTAGGGTCTAGGGTTTCGATTAACAAATAGCCCTGGAATGTGAGAATGATTCTGCAAGGGGCCTAAGTAAATGCTTTTGGGCTCCCCGGGGATAGACTTGCTTGTCCTCCTGTTCTACCGAACCCCATCCGTGGCAGCACATGGACTGTTCGCCTCGTGAGGACAGTGAGGGAAAATCAGTTTAGGGCTTTAGGGTTTAGGGCTTTAGGGGTTTAGGGCTTAGGGGTTTAGGGCTTTAGGCTTTAGGGCTTTAGGGTTTAGGGGTTTAGGGTTTAGAGCTATAATTTGGTTTAGGGCCAAGAGCTTCGGGAACGCATACATACTGGGTACCATTGAAGAAACCTAGCTGATAAGTTTACTATGCATTAGAAGCCGAGATAGTCATCAATGGTAGTATGACTTCGATTCTCGCTTACGAAGCGGATTAGAAACGAAGGGATTTCCGGAACCCTTGTAAGTGTCGTAATGAACTACTGATGTACTCTGTGATAGAACATCTTACACTGAACTACAAGCTCGTTTTATGGCTAGAGCTAGAGCCCACTGACTGTTTTCATAGTCCCACACGCATGTTCTCGATTTCCGTGAGAAGGATGCTTTGGGCACTGTCCTGTTGCAGTCGAGCCTCCATATCGCCGACCATGCTCGCGCAGGGCCTTCGGGTCATCATTTTGCAAGCACATTTCGTATTTTGGAGTGTGTAAAGCCCAATAGGAACTAAATAGATCCGACGGAGGTCACGCACTGTTTTAGAAGTACTTAAACCCGACAAGGCAGAATTCCGGTCTTTTCTTGATGTTGCCCCCGCATTCGCTCAGGCAGTCGCTGGAGGTGCTCCAGGCTGAAAGCGTCGAAGTGCCGATCGGTGGCGGCGTGCTCGTGGCTGTAGTTGTTCTGTTTTGCCTCCTGCTGTTGCTGGGTCCGCAATATATGGAGCGTTTTCTTTGTGAGGTGAGGTTCGGGAGGCTCTCTTTTGTGGTGGCAGATTTCGTTGTTTCTGCCGATGGAGAGGTGGGACTGAGGCTGCATGAGCTGTACGTGGAAACGGGAAGGAAGCCGCTGCTTGCAAGACGCGATGGCAGCAACTCCACACTTCTTCAGATAAGCATTCAACTCACGTGGCTCCTCCCAACAGTGAGCTCCACAGTGGTGATCCCGGTTTGCCGGGATTATGCAAAGGCTGTGGGAGAATCCGCTACCGCAAGTGGACTCCTGATTGGCGTTGTTCCCTTGGGTGCGCTGATCGGCATGTTGGCCGGAAAGGGCCTGGTTACTGAGAATGACTGGAATCAGCGCTATGCGCGGAAGATTGTTCTATACGTCCATGGACTATGGATATTCTCGATGCCTGTCATGGCTCTGATCATCCGGGCTTCTGTGGAATGGAGCCCTCATGGCAAGCGCCTTTCATATTGGGGCGTCTTATCTCTGTATTTCCTCACAGTGACTATTGGTAGTATGATGATGGTTCCATGGCGCACCATGTGGAACTTGTTTACACCGCAAACGGACAAGACCTTTTGGTCGATGATGACACAATGCTCAAAAGCATTCGGCTTCGTAGGTGGGCCGATCTTTTTTGCCTTTGTCAGTTTCCTCGTCCACGGGAACCAGGCCAGTCAAGTGTCTCCAATCAGCATGATGAGCTGGGCCTTCATGGGTGGCTGCCGGGTTTCAGTTTGGACTGCTGTTCGACTCTTGACGAGCGCCCCCCCCCCAAAAAAAAAAAAAACAAACAGAAAACCTTTGGAAGTTAAAGCCTTAGGTACAAGAACCCAGGTTTCTTCATCAATGCCATCGAGCTACTGCTCGCTGCCGCCGTCTTCCCCACGGTACTTCAGCAAGCAGACTGCGACTCAGGCCCGAATGGATGACATAAGAATGCTTAAGGCCAGTACGAAACCAAAACAGGATTGAATAAGATTGTAACCACGAAGTAGTTACAACCTCAAGCTACTATGGATATGCATATGCAATGACATGCTCTATGTATTTCGGAGTGCCGTATTCCATGTACCTTGGGATGGTTATGTAATCTTCAAACCTTCCCCAGGTCAGCTGCAGGCAGGAAGCGACGACGAACTGGAAAGGGCAGCAGGAACTCGCGTTGAACGCCTGCCACCCTCCTCGCGCGAGAGACTGGTCTGGCATCTCGACCTACAGGCTAATTAGTAGTTGCAGGATTGATGGCAATGACAGTATTAGCAGCTCTAATTGCCGTGCTGGTTGTGTGCAGACGACCCTGAACACACAACATCAGGGATGTAGCGTGGGTTCCAGCAGCGTGCGAGGAATATCGTGTACTATTGCTACGAGCGCGGCTTCACCATGTCCGCACTGGAGGTGTCCATCATTCTGATTTTGCAAGACTCCTATGGATGGACTGAAAGTCTCAGTGGAATATCTTTCGCCATTGTTGGAGCCGGGGGCATAGTTATGACAGGCCTCTCCGCTCTTCTAGCATCTTTCAAGTGGCTCACCGAGTCCAAGATCTTTTTGAGCATTATGTGTCTGGGAGCCTGCAGTTCCCTGTTGCTCTTTCGGCTTCGGTTTCTTGGCCCTATCAGCCTCCTTTTTGCCGCCATCGTCCTCTACGGCGGGGCCAGCGTTGCCAACGGCATTGCAGAGGGCTGGGCGTGCCGTGCAGCTGGGCTACGGAGTACCATACTCTGATAACTCTTGTCTTAAAGGAGCCCATTATGAAGTACACTCCAATATTTTTTTCTTAAAGGAACCCATTATTTTGGAGTACCATACTTTACTATTTTTCTTGAAGGAGCCCATTTTATGAAATAAAAGTGTATAGCCCAGGCAGCAACTGCACGTACGAGCTACAGCATCAAGGCTTATCTAACGCACAGCATGATTGGCTTTAGCATCTCCCGCTTTGCCGGACCGATCATCGCGGGATTCCTCTTTGACAATGGTGGCCAGAACCTCTACGCTGTGGCGCAGTCTGCTCTCTGCTTCCTCTCGGCGGGACTGGTGTACCGCACCGTCTCTTTGGTCTGGTATGGAATGGCTTGTGAAGATTAGGGCCTTACCTGGACCCTAAAGAACCTACCTTTTTCGGGTTCCTTATTATGATTTCCTTATACAGGTCCTTAAAAAGGTAGGTTCTTCCGGGTTAAGATAGGGCCTGAGCAAGCATCTGAGAGTCGAAGGCTTTTGTTAGATTCCTTTGATTCCCGGGACTCTCACGAAGGCTCCACGGTTCTCACCACTGTTAAGGAACCGGCGTCCCGTCCATTGAGGGTGTGTCAACAAGGCTGTTTTCCTCAAAGATATTCTCCTACAGAGCCTCTGTGCAAGTTGTTCTCAGTAGTTCTGGTCCTCTCGCGAGGCTTGCCGCAAGTGAGCTTTGTGGTCTTTAAAGCCCCAAAGAAATTCGGAAGATTTGGTAACAACTTCAGCGCAAACCCTTGCACATTCCTTTGGTTCAGGGTTGTGCAAGAAACCTAAACTCCACTCCTCTTGCAGATGTAGCGACAACCTCCGGCCAGGGAGTTTAGACCCTGGCGTAGGGGCCGACCCTTTGAGCTGGAAACTTCGTTCACGCTGCACTTACCTTGGGTTAGTAGGGAATGGAGGAATGGGGTACAATTATAGCTACTATTACTACCATTCTTCCATTCCCTACTAACCAAAGGTAAGTGCAAGAGTGGGCTGTTCGATCCTTGTATTTCCAATCAACATAGGATCACGAGATGATTTCTTCATCACTAGTGCAGGTACTTCCTTCTTGCTAGTTCTAGCACTAGCGAGTCTCGGGTTGAGATGATCCTTCAAATGCATGGATTTGCAAGAAGTTATTTGGCAGTTCTGTAAGTTTCCCTCCACGGAGAACCCAGGTGTATGTTGCTGAAGATAGCTGAAGTGATCGCCCGCATTTCCCTGCCCCTGCTTTCCGTGCGCAAGGTTCATGTGATCACTTTGAGGTTTTCATTAAAAGTTTCTCGTTTCTTGCAGTCATTCGAAGTTGGTGAGAGTACACTACTCCTGTAGTGATAGTATACTACCAAATGTGATATATCAGTTACCTCGATCTTTGCAATGCAGGGAAGTACAATGTAGGCATCGTCGGGGCCACGGGTCGCTCCCTCAGCCCTTATCCTTGAACATCCCTGAACCCCAAGCCCCCAATGAGGCCCACATCCTAACCCTCAGCCCGAACCCCCTTCACGCCCATAAGGACCCCTCATCACTGTTCGTGGCTCAGAGGTTGAGATTGCAAGAACAGTGAAGAGTACGGCTAACCTTCAAAGAGGGTCAAAGCCAACTCTCTTGACAACGGAGCGTGATAAGAGAGAGGATAGCAGAGGAGATGCAATTACGCAGATAGGGTTTGTTACAGGGAATATATATATATATAGATATATATATATATATAGATATATATATATATATATAGATATATATATATATAGATATATATATATATATAGATATGTGTATATATATATACATGTAAGCAAACAAACTCCACCCACTGCCCTGATCCTTTTGCACCCGGAACCTTACCGCCTAAATCCTCATCAAACAGCAAAACCGCTGCAAAACCCTGTAACAAAAGGGGTACCCCAGCCTTCCAACCCTAACGGCTGAACGCAGCCACCCTAAACCCCAAGCTCTAGAACTCTAAGACTCGAAGACTCTAAACCCCACCTATCCTAAACCCGAATCCTCAACCCTGAACCTTAAATCCTGAACCAGCATCCCGAACTCGCAGCCTTAAGTCCTAAATCATCGGAGCCTTGTGCTGTGAGCATGGCGGCGGTGCTATCCTTCGACACTGCCTGGGCCGGAGACTTGAGCTGCTCCGCTTTGGAACAACGAGGATTACTATCGCGGCCTCAAGAATTAGAATAGGGTTACTTTTAAAGGGATACTATAGGGTCTACTAGAAGGGTACCATGATTTAGGGGCCTTAATAATTCGAATAGGGTTTCGGGGTATAGTATACTACAATTATGATAAGGGGAAGGAAAAATTACCTGTACTAGTTTGGGGGTTCCTTGTTACATTTATACTAGACTGCGCCCCAGAACCCTATTCTAATTATTAAGGCCCCTATATTGGGGCAATGGTGTCTGGCTTGGGGTTTAGGATTTTGTGATGAGGGCTTTTAGCTATGGGGACGAGGGAGCCTTAAGGGCGGGTTTAGGGCTTTGGGACGAGAGGTTAGGGCTGAGGATATTTGATATGGTTTGGGGTTTCGGGCTTTAGGGGTTTAGGATTTGGGGCTTATGTGGTGTTCAGGATTTGGGATTTTGAGTTTCGGCTTTAGGACTTAGCGGTTTAGTGCCTGCTCCAGGCGCCTAGTGGTCATAGGGACTGCAACCTGTATAAAGACTACTATACTTGAAGGATCATGGGACTTAGTAAGTAGGTTACAATTGTGGTTTTAAGTCCCCTAAGTGGGGTTATCCTAATTATAACCTACTTATAACCTTACTTACTAAGTCCCATGAGCCTTTAAGTAGGGATGCCTTCCCTCACTCCCCGCTAAGCATCAGAAGATTCGGTGGTTCGCAGTCGAGGGTATTCGGGGTGTAGGGTTTGGGGTTGAAGTTTTCGAGTTTAAAGTTTAGGCTTGAAGGTTTCGGGTTGAGGATATCGTGCTGAGGCACTCCCTTGTTGGTTACAGAGAGAGAGAGAGAGAGAGAGAGAGAGAGAGAGAGAGAGAGAGATAGATAGAGAGAGAGAGAGAGCAACCACAGCAGAAAGTGTAATTAGGACGCTCCAGCGCCCCCCCCTAAACTCCCCCCCAATGGTCCACTCCCCCGTGGAACAACACGGGCGGGCTGTATGCATAAGTGTGTATATATATATATATATATATATACATATTTATTTGTTTATATTTATATTTATATTTATATTTATATGTATATCTATATATATATATATAACATATATGTTTTTGGCATGTTTATTTATTTGTTATGTATGTATGTATGTATGTATGTGTATACATATATATATATATATACATTTTTTTAAATGTATGTGAGGGAGAATCTTTTTGGTATTGTTCGACATTGGCTGGACAGATGAGAGTGGATTTACATTGTTTACACCTTTGTAAATTTGGAACAATCCCCGAAAGGTTACAAGATTGAAATGGTGTAAGTCGAGTAAGTGTTTCAGTGCGAAGAGATATATTGGCGAAATGACGACAAACTGACGGCGTGGGACGCTTGGAGATGATAAATCAGCGTCCAGCGCGATTGATAAAGACAAAATATCCGACGACGACTGAGAAAATGTTCGCAACTGCAGGAGCTGCAGAGTGGGTGGAAAGGGCCCCAATTTTTCAAGAGCTCTGCGTGTGAGGGCCGACCACCACCACCTCCCCAATGCCACTACTTATCGCCGTTAGCTGCTGCTACTGTCGCCCGCCCACTTCAACCAGTACTCACATGTCCATCCTAAGGAGAGCTCCTCTCAAAGCTGACTTGGCCACGGGTTTGCGCGCTGGCTTCGGCCGGTGTGGTGGCGCAGGCAGGGTCCGAACAGTCCTGATACAGAAGATGAGACGCCGGATGTAGCTTTCCAAAATCTTTCTTATTCTGACATGACCAGTAAATATAACTCCTGCGGAGCGCGGGACTCTACTAAAGGCGGAGCTGGGTGAGGGTGGGGCCCGCACTCTACAGCACGTGGCCAAAGATATGATGGCGTGGCTGCTGCAAACCCCCATATCCATTACTTGTTGGTTCTCAAGGGGCAGCAATAAGTTTGCGTAGGAAGTTTGGTATTAATGGTCCTGCAGCACTTACTCAAAACCGGCAAAGCATTTGCAGTTGCCAACCTTGTCCTTGTGCTGTCCATGGCTGTAGATTCTGGAACTTGTGATGAGCTAGGACATCATGCAATTTTAGGTTGGTGCCTGCTTGTGTTGCTTTGGTTTCGTGCCTATCTCCTAGTGCATCTGACAATCTCCAATCGACCGTGCCCCACATGGAACAACGACAGCATGTGCAGGCTGTCTTTGGTCAGACCTTAGTGGTGCTGGAGCTCTAGCACGGCTTCCTCTGACCGCTCAAGAGTAATTGTGATAATCAAGGCGATAATAGTTACCGTAATAGTAATCATCGTAAGGAGGGTCGTCATGTGAAGGCGAGTGAATATGGAGATAGGGCTGACTATAGGCTACCCTTATAGGGCACTAGCATCGGGTACTATTGTAGGGTCTATGGAGTACTATTGTAGGGCACTCTATAAGAACTATTGTATGGATCCGCTCCCTTCGCTTTCGCCTTCTGCGCAAACCCTCAAGTCTACACCCGAAACCTTGAGCCCTCGACCTTAAACTTCAATCCCGACGCTCTAAGGCCTAGGACCTCATCCCTGCAGTCTCAACCTCAACTCTAGGGCCCCAAAAAGGCACATAAGCAAAAATAAGGGTAGGGATGTTCCATATAACCCCCCTTGTAATGAAGCCCAATAAGGTAGGGATATCACCATGACATGCTTATGCTTATGTGCTTTTTGGGTCCCTTAAACTCTACATTCTGAACTGCGAACCCTGACCTAAATCGTAAAACCGAAGGCTTAAACTTGAAACCCTAGATTCCAAACGGTTAAACCAGTAACCTTAAGTTTTAAATTCTAAACTCTAAACCCTGAACACCAAATCCTAAACCGTCAACCTAAAATCTTTAACCCCCAAGGCGTAAAACCCTAAAGCCCATCGGTGTTGGATTTGGACATTGAGAGAAGTGTATTGGGCTGTGTTGGATGTAAGTGCACTGCGGGGAGTGCTTTTGAAACAGCGGGCAATCGGCGCGACCCTTGAGCAACGTTCTGAAACATGTGATCTTACGTAGCCTCATCTATGTAAACTCCGGTATTGCGGCAGAATGTTGCGATGCGTGTAGTAGAGACGCTCTGGACTATGGGGACCTTGCCTGCCTTATGCAGGTGTGAGCGTTGAAAACCCGCAACCCTACAGGCCTTATCACTAAATGTAAAAGCCAGAAAGTTGGAATATTGTTATCCTAAACCCTGTATGGTAAATTATCAGGTATCCCTGAAACCATATTCCAAATTTCGGGAGTTCCCTTTAAACCCTTATAAACCCCACCCTAAATCCCTAAATCCAAACTCGGACTCGTCAAGGTGATTTGGTCGCACTACAGGATTCTTCTCCGGAGGCGAGCTGGGGGTCATTCTCGTGATAACATGGATTAGCACACATGTATATGATAGAAAATACTCTATCTGTGCATCAAAATACATGATAAACAGAGACACATATGCTCGTGGAAAATGAGTCGTATGTAGATCCGATCCTGGTATATATGGTACCGTTTTTGTCTCACCGTACATATTTAGATTGATTATTGATTATAGTCTAAATGCACGTTGTATGATATTTGGTTCACATCTGTCGTTCTTAACTTAATGCTCCTGCTGTTACCCACTGGTATGTGTGTGTATATATACATATGTATATATATATATATATATATATAGGTAGAAAGATTGCTGCATATAGTTAAATAAACAGATTGACAAATAGACAGAGATGCGTGCGTGCCATAGGCCTCCTTGTCGACCTGTGTAGATTCAAACAGACATGATTGCTGAGCATACCATAAGAGAACGCTTCTTGCGATTCTTATTGTTGTTATAATATCACTACGGTTTCCATTATTACAACTGTTGGCAAGATTACCATCATGACTGCTATTACCATCACTACGAGCATTTCGAGTAGAACCATGATATCCATCACTACCATTGTTATCATTGTTTCTGTTATATGCTTGTTGCTGTTATTACTAGCATTATTGGAGCTGTTCCGATGTGCAAGCTGGTCATCGATGAGCATGTGTTGCCTTGTCAAGTTTTTATAGCTGAATTGCGATGCATTGGATAGACTCTGTTGCCGCCGTGTCTTAATTGCCGGATACGCAGGTATTGGTAATTTGCGCAATAGCAGCTTCGCAGCGAAAAGTGCATCGGTATCCAAACTGGTAGCGGAGCTGGAAGGCCGGCCGTGTGGCACAAGCTTCCGTCTTGTGCCAGCCGAGTGCGCGCGGCTGTAAGGCTCTGGGCCCAGAACTATGAGTGCGGCAGTTTGGGTTATGCCCGCACCCAAGACTGGAGGCGACCCAGAGTCCTACGGTCGATGATATAAATCCTGCATTTCCCATAATAAGGAATACCATAGTTCCCATAGTTTTGGGTCCTTAAGGTAATGCAGGGTTTATCATCAACCGTAGTGTAGGACCGCTATGCGGCTGAACCTTTACGAGGCTATTCGTGCGAAAGCGCCTCGAGCCCAGCAAACTCGTGCTCCGATGGCCAGGCTTCTTATTCTTGTTCTTGTTGCATAGGATTCCCGCAAGTGTTGAAAGCGACAGCAAAGAAACAATAACGGTTTACGAGGGATAGTTTTTGATTTATACGGTTGCAAACAATATACATTTGTTGCATAATCTGGTGACCCAAGCCCTTGAACCCTGAGCCTGAAGACTTCTAACCCTAAGCCCTCAACCCTAAAGCCCCAGTTCGAAACAAGCCTCCTATACAACCCTGAGCCCTTAACCAATCCCCGGAAACACCTCAGCCCCCCCAACTAACCACCCTCTAATGTGCCCTAAACTACCATCACTTTAGACCAGAAGGTATCCATTAAAAAGCCCTTTAGTCCCCATAACCCATTTCCCCAGTCCCTACGAAGAACCAGACCCTTATGGTACCCTTATAGATACCTAGAAACCCCTGTAGATCCCTTATACAATCCCTTTCCCTTTTAAAGGAACCCTCAAGAGCTCCCCCAGTCCCTACTAGGAACCAGACGGGAAACCCCAAAACAGGCGGCTGCCGACCCACGACCTTGGGCTTCCCCTCGTGGGGCACACTTTCCAGATCTATGAGGAGTCTCTGGAAGGACAGGGGTTTAGGGTTCAGAGGGGCCTTGGGATTCGGGTGCCTTTAGAAGTACCTATGAAAAGTTTCCTTATTTTGTTTGAGGGGGGAGGGGGTTTCTCATGATAAATTTAGCATAATGGGCCCCAAAACTCAATTCGAATTATGAAGGCCCCTATATTAGGCTTGGGGGGCTTAGGGGGTTGGAGTTTAGGGGTGAGTGTTTCTCGGTTCTGGGTTGTGGCTCTAGTAATCCTTTCAGAAATAGTCTTGGAAGTAGTTTGGGTTGGAGTTTGAAATGCCAAGATTGTGTTTGGGGTTTCAGCTTCAGGGTGTTGGAGAGTTTTGGGGCTAGGGTTCAGGGCTGCGGGATTAGGGTTTAGAGCTTAGGGTTAGGGTTTCACTTTAAGTACTACTTTACCGGCCCTTGGAACTCTTGTGCCTTAGTATTGATGCACTCCATGCCCTATGCCCTGAAACAACCCTAAAACCAAAACTTCAATCCCCAAACACTTGACCCTAATCCTTAAACCGTACATCCCAATCCCTGGCTGCGAACCGCCTAAACCCAAAGTCTCGAATCGAAGCGTATACATATAAACAGCCTCATGCAAGCACTGAATCATCTGAATGCTGCGGAGGATGGGTAAACCGAGTCTTGAAGGACCCACCGGGGTTGGTGCAGGAAGTCACTGCGAACATACATAATCAGGTAAGAAATTAGACTTGTGTTATACATGTGTATATATATATAGATATAAACATCTATGCAGGTAATGCTAAATTTACATGTTGAAGATCGTGTTAGAGAGGCAAGGAGATTGGGGTTCAAGGGTCCAGTTTGGGTGCTTTAGGCTTCTGTTGCTTCAGGGTGGGTGCGGGACTGAATCCCTATAGTCACCCCTGTCCCCACTCCCTCTTCAGAACCAGTACAGTAGGTTAGGATTCTCTTGGGTGCTTTGTTCAGAGCTTAGGGCGTAGGTTTGAAAGGGTTTTTGGGACCAGGGCACAAACGACGTACCCTTCTAAGGAATTATAAATAGAAACGTAACTATACTATGGAACCCCCAAAAAGGAAGGTTTTTCGGCCACGGGGTAGGTTGTAGGCATGCGAGACTTCAGTGCGTAGCACCGGATGTGGGGCCCAGGATTTTGACCGCCGAATTGGGTTTAGATCTGGGGGTCTCACAATACTTAACCCCCCGAATATGTGTATATGTATGTCAGCATATGTATATAGATAGACAGGTAGAGGGATCGGCAGCCTTGTTTCATGAGGGGTGTGTGGACGTATATAAATCTGCATATCCAAAGCATGCTCTGCTCTGTGTAGATATGTATATATATATATATATATGTATTTATATGTCCATATCCATGTCTCTTTTTATGTATATGTATACAAAAATGGTTTGTGTAACACTGCTATTTAGGGGGTGCAATGTGACCCCTGATTGTGAAGCAAGCTCCTCGGAACATCAGCAAAGCATTCCCGGAAGGACAAGCAAGCGTACCTGTCCCATTACTTTTACTCTCACACTGTCCTCCTGCGGCACGAGCTGTACATGAAGTGCCTCGGACGCCTACGGGTTTGCAGTTAAGGTGAGGTTTTCGGATGTAGTTCCGCGGGAAACAGTGGAAATAGGAAAGTAAATGCCACTCAACGGTCGCAGTAGTCAGTAGTCATGACTGCTGCTGCTGTTCTTGTTGCTGCTGCTGCTTCTGCTGCTACTGCTACGTTTGGTGTTTCATTTTCATTGGCACCATGGTTCGCCTTACAATCGTCGCCTACAGGCTGTGTTATCATGTCCTACGGCGGTCATCAATGGCATTTTGCGGCTTTCACGAACGCATCAGCTGACTGATTAGCTCCTGAACTAGCCAGTTAGTCGTTCCTGATCGCTGTGGTGATTAACACCATCATTGTATCTTGCGTTCTGTCGCATCCACTGTACGAACCGAACATGGTTTCAATTACTTTTAAGTTATGAGGACCGCCCATTGTGACCCGCAAGCACGTATACAGTCTTTCATAGTTTCTGCAGCAACGGCGACAGCGACTTTAGCCCTATACACGCGAGCCAGTGGAATCACCACTTCGAGTAATCGGAACAAGTAGAAAGGGTGGTGATCAAGTAATAAAAATATAGTAGCAGTAGCGACCAGAGTCATAACCATGAGACTGGTATGCATATAAAGGATAGTAGAAATAGCAGTAGTAGCAACAGGGGCAGTACTAATGGTAACAGCAGTAATAGTAGTTGGCAGCAGCTCCAGTTACGATCACAGCAATAACAGCGGTGAACACTATGAAAACGCGAACACCACCCGCTCACACCGCCACAGCGTAACGTTCTCTAAGCAATGTTCTTAGGCTTGGGGACAGGGAATGACCCGGTAAAGTGAGGTGAGCAGATGTAAGAGAACAATTTTCCGTAGACTCTGAGTTAGGCTCAGAGCGATTTTGTTGTTTCTGTTGCTCGTTTCTTAGGATCCGTTTTGCACCAAGTACGTCTCAGCGTGAACTTCCCCTCAAGTCTCAACAGGAATCTGAATACAATACGAACGTCTCACTGCGAAGAGTACTCCTAGTTTGGATAGGCGCCCCTATATCTTGCAATGCCTAAACATAGAAATGTAAACAAGACTATGGTTATGATAGCCAATAGTTAACAACAACTATCATACCGAAATGCTACTTCTAGCTACTAGAACTCCCTTGTAGCTCTCAAAGCTCAAAGGCTGGAAGTAGATTTGTGAAGCCGAAATCCACCAGACACGACACTGCAAGAATCATTGTATGAAGATAACAAGAACCACAGCGGCAACGACAACAACAAGAACAACGACGACCACACCACCAAGAGGAGACGCACCAACAACGCCACCAGTAAGGAACAAACGTTCCGGACAACAGCATGCCGCAGTACGAGGAGTAGCAAGAACAACTAGATTTTCGTTGGATCCTAAGCCTAAGCACGAAGGTCGCGAAAGTCCTTGAAATTCGAAGCCATTCACCAGGCATGTTCATCGTGCAGAGCTCGATGGCAAGCTGTGTCCCTTCTACCCGCGCAGCCTTTCAAGGAGGGGCCGTGTCAGGCTCTAGGGGACCGTTGAGGATTAGGGTTCCATTATTGGAACCTCGGTCCAACAGCCTCAACCTTGAGACTCCTATAGCCTTTGCCCACGAAGCAAAGCAAGCATTATTCCTACGACTAGCTTACTACTACCATGATTGTCATTATTGCTGCTTTTACTATTGCTATGAGTATTCATATTGTCAGTTTTGCAACTCTTCGCACGTCAAATATCCTTACTACCATGTTTGCTCTTGTTCCCATTATTTCGCTTCTTGCCGATAGACAGCTACCGTCTTTTGCCGCTTCGCACAAGGGAAGCCTTCCGACCATCACGGACACGCCGCACTGCCCGATTAAAGCACACTCAAGGCCCAAAGCCTCGCGTACTGGTTTCTCCCGAATACGCCAGCATACAAATCCCAAGTCCTAATCCTCAAAACCCCAAAACAGATAACTCCGAACCTCATTCATAAACCTTGAACTCCCCTGATCTCTAGCCCTTACACCCAAATTCCAGAGCTTTCAACCCTTTACTCTTCGTCCTGCATCATTACAACATTCGATCGTAGTCATGTCACAATAGCAACAGCAACAGCACACTGCATTGCTGCGGTTGCTGTGCATTGCTTTTCTTGCTATTTCCTGATATGTTATGCTATGATGATGAAGCAAAGCTTAGGGTCCATCGAGCGATGTGTTCTCTTGACTGAAGATCGCTGCCACGCGGAACGTGGCTCAAGGGAGCAAAGGCATGGAAAAGAGGTAGCGTGCGGTGCCTGCATAGGCCTTCTGGGAACTCGTCAGTTGGTAGCGCGAGCCTCGGTTCCGTGATGGCCACCTTGGACTCCGTTGAAGCTTGGGCGGCTACTCCGGAAGAGCAGGCAGAAGCACCCTCGGATCCTCAGACCGCCGAGGCCCCAAGGACGGAAGCAGTGCGTGAGTGGAGCGACGCCGAGTGGCAGGACTGGAACTCGACCTGGTGGAAGCCTGGGTGGAGTTCGTGGCAGTGGCAAGGGAGCAATTGGGGCTCCAATGCTTACTGGGGCGGCTGGCAGGGGTCAGCTGGGTCCTATCACACGGCGGTGGCTAGTTCTGAGCCTGCCCGGGGAAGTGGCGAGGCTCCAGGACAGCAGGCGGATGCGACGTCGACGGCGCAACCTTCAACCTCGTCTCGAAGTGGCGAGGCTCCTGGACAGAAGGCGGATGCGACTTCGACGGTACAACCTTCGTCCTCGACTCAAGGAGCTGCTTCGGCAGATCCGTGGGCAGCGGCGGCGGCGGCTATCACGGCGGCTGTGGCTCAGGACCGAGCTCTACCAGCCGATTCAGCGCAAGTAAGAGATGCTCCCTCTGATCGCGGTCCCGCTCCTCCTAGCGATTCAGCACAAGGACAACCTGGCTGGCGAGGCCGGGGACAAGGCGGCGGCTGGGGCGGCTCCTGGCCAGATTGGGGTTGGACTGGTTCCAATCCGAAGGGCGACTACTCGGATCCCCCGCCTTTTCCCGGTTGGGCACACAGGCGCTTCTGGACGGCGGCGCTTCGCCGCTGGAACAAGAACACGGATGTGCCTCTCTTTCGTCGTGGAGAGAAAGTCCTTCGGTGTCTGGGATGGGAGCTCCTTCCGGACATGGAGCACATCACGGAGGAGGAGCTGGGGCGGGCAGCGACGCGCCACCGAAAGGACATGGAGGCGGCCAACCAGGTCAACGTGGACCAGGCCGTGGGCGAGATCGAGAAGGACGTGGTCGTGGGCACATGTCACGAGAGCAGTTGAAGAAGATCTCCAAGTGCCGCGGCTGCGGCCAGAAGGGTCACTGGGTTGCCGAGTGTCCCAACAAAGGTGCCCCGACTGGCTTCGCCTACACCCCGGAGCCGAAGACGAGCTCCTCAGTCGCTTTCTCGTTCGTGACGCGCCAAGAGCTTCGGACCGCTGTCTTGAATATCCAGACTGCCGGCGGCGCGGCCTTTGTCGAGGAGTCCGCTTGGAGCTACTTGACCATGCCCTCCGGCGAGGCGATCGTCGATACAGGGGCGACTCAGGACCTCATCGGATCACGGGCCTACCAGGCATTAGCACACCGCTTGGCGACGGTCGGACTCCGTGCTGTGAAAGTGGACGTCCCATGCGCTGTTCCCTCGGGCATCGGCGGCAAGGCGTCTGTGGACCAAGTGGTTCTCGTTCCGATCTCCCCAGGCGGCTGTGCAGGGGTTCTTCAGATGGTGGTGCTGGCGGCAGACATCCCGCCGTTGCTTAGCATTGGTTTCATGGAATACATGGGCACGATCATAGACTTGCCGGCAAAGAAGGTTCATTTTACCACGCACCAGCTGTCTGTGCCACTGAATGAGTTGCCCTCGAAGTCACAAGTCAATTCCCCTAGTGGATTGGCCCGGAGGAAAGTTTCAGGTCCCAGAGCAGATTCGAGAGAAGTTCGGGCTGCCCGAGGACGCTTTTGACTTGAAGCCTGGCTCCTCCTCCCTGTATACAAAAGCACAGTTTCGAGATGCATTGTCAGAAGGGCGGCTGCAGGGCAACCAAGAGTCTGTGAGTGTGCTGAAGGGCAGGACCGTCCAGCAGGAGAGTGCCAGTAGTATCCCCAGCAGTTCGCCAGAGCCTCCTATGTCGTCTAGTTTAGCCAGTGTGGCCCGGCGCGAACACTCTCGTGAGTCGATGCTTCTCAATGTCGGCTCGAGGCAATCGCCAATGTGCAATTCGAGCGTCACTAGCGCCCTCACCAAGATCCCCGAGCATGGAGCGGACGGCAGCTTTGTCTCCTCCGTCAAGATGCTGGCGGGCGTTGGTGTCGAGAGTGATGATCATCCTGGAGTCCAGCCGGCTGATGTACTTCAAGCTGGCGATGGCAGAGCGGTCGAAGACAAGATCGGAAGTCTGCCCTTGAGTTAGCAATCATTCTGCGTGATCTCCAATCTTCTCGGAGCATGGTGAGGTGGATCCCCCACCAAAAGATGCTCGCAGATGGGCTCACCAAGGAAGACCCCTTCCGAGGCAACGGCGCCCTTGAACATTTTCTTCGGACCGGGGTTCTGAGCTTTGTCGACATGGAGGCCGAGCTAGAGCGACGTCGAAGTAGCACCGAGGCGAGAAGCCGATCCGCCAGAGCTTCGGTGAGCCGTCTTCAATATGAGGATCAGCTCCAACAGCTATGCTCTCTTTTCCTCGAGACCCTTCAGTCAACTCCTATTGGGGGGGACTGATGAAGCAAAGCTTAGGGTCCATCGAGCGATGTGTTCTCTTGACTGAAGATCGCTGCCACGCGGAACGTGGCTCAAGGGAGCAAAGGCATGGAAAAGAGGTAGCGTGCGGTGCCTGCATAGGCCTTCTGGGAACTCGTCAGATGAGTCGATTTCTGTTGCTTTGTAGACATGTTGCTGTAGCGCAATAGCGCTGTCATGCTTTGCTGCTGAGCTCATGCTTGCTTTATTGCTGTAGATTTACATTGCTATGGTAATTTGCATCACTATACTGTTATATTACTGTGGACTTGCAATGCAGCATTGCACAACGCTACAGTACCATAGCATTACTTCATTACATTCAATATCTTGTTGTATCGCTGACTTCATGTAATATAACACCATGTCTTGCTGTTTCGCTTGCTTTCGGAAAATAACATTCCTGACGCCATACTTATTAACAACTATATTGCAACAGCTGCGAAAGGTTGATCGGCGAGAGCAGTATCATTGTCCTCCCCGGCGGCAACATGAGAGTGCAATTTACGGATTTGCGTCAGGGATTCGGGTTGAGGGTGCTGCAGGTGTCGTAGGTGGTTTAAAGTTTACTGTTCAGGGCTAAGGCCGTAAACCCTACCAATTTGCGTCCACCAGACCCTAAATGCTCATTTCTACACCCTCTTCCCGACTTGCCAATCATCAGCCCCCCAAAACATTGCAGATACACAATTCTTAAACTGCTACTGTATATTCTGATATAGAACGCACACAGTAACATTAATAGTATCTGCTAAAACACAGGATCAGAGAGATTCTAATGTACCAGAACATACTAATACAACCCCAGTATGTGCGACACTGTTTCTCCAGATTGATGATGCATCTTCGGTTTGGTCGATTTGCTTGTGACCAACTTCCCTGGGCAACAATTACCGTAAAGCAATGCAGTTGACTTGTTTTTCGTTTTTTGCAATATGAATATGCTCAAACGCCGGTCTGCTATTGCCGTTTTAGTGTCGTTAACTGTTGCACTAGGGCGTCTGTTCATTGTTTTTTTTGTGATGGCTCACTTTTGTGTTTCACTTGTAGCCTCCATGATTGCGTACTTTACTCTTCTCACAGCTTTACAGCTTGTTTCATCAGATCCAGTGCTTGGCGTTCGCTACCATGGTGTCCCTGCGAGCCATGCTAGTGAACAGTAGTTGTAGAATATTCAGCATTACTACTATAGGTATAGAGTGTACAGATATAGCATACATACGTACATGTGTGTATATACATAGTATATACATACACAGTGTGTATACATATATATATAAATATATATCTGTAACATGGCAGGTATAGTAAATGCATTCATCTCTAGAAAACCTATGCATATAGAGAGCGTGTATATATATATATATATATTTATTTATTTATTTATTTATTTATTTATTTATATATATATATATATATATCTATATATATATATATATTTATATTTATATATATATATATATATATATATTTATGTATTTACTTGTTTAATTATACATATCTAACATATACCGAAAGCCAGCTGAAGTGCGCCACCCTAAACCCAAACCACAAAGGCCTTGTGTTCCAAATAAACCTAAGCCACATAGTCGTTCAGACCTGGCCAAACGTAAGGTAAGCCGTGATTCCCCGTACATCTTACCACTGCTGTCCCTGACTAGGTCTTGAACTCCAAACCCTTCACAACACAACGCCAAATCCCTGACCCTTAAATCCTCATCCCAAATCCTAAACTTTGAATCTGAGGCAAAGGCCACCACAAGCACAAGCGCTTGCGAGGTGGCTTGGCGGACCTACTGGTTCTTAATTGGTTGGGGGAGTGAATATGGTTACAGCAATAGGGGACTGTACAAGGATTATACAAAGGAACCATTCCCCCACTCAGCCTCACCCTTCAGAGCCACTTGGCTGATGTCGCAGTGGTTGAGGCTGCTTTGGAATTTGGGTTGGGGGGCTTAGGTTCCGGTTTAGGTTTTAGGGTTGTAGCTTTGGGCTTGGGGTTTTTCGGGCTTAAGGTGGACGCTTTAGGGCTGGTGGTTCGGACAAAGTTTTCTCAGGCTTGAGGCCTTTGTGGAGTGGGACGGGGTGCAAGCCTTTGGAGAACTCACCTCGCTTTCGACGCAACACGACCTCTGACGCAAAGCTCAAAGCCCAATAAGGGTCTGTCTCCAAATCGGGGTACCCCGTAGAGTATTTTACTGTACCCCTTGAATTGTCGAAAGCTTGACGTGATATCCCCGTAGTACAGGGGCCCTCCTCTTTTTTGAAAAGCTCCCCAAGGGTGTTTTTTTTAGTTCAGGGTCGTCGGTTTCAGAAAAGCAAAGCTCCGGCGACTCGCGAAGGCAAGCTGCTCGCCAGCCTCGGGCCGCAATACGTCCTCAGCATTATCCCCGAGATCACGGCAATGGACGATCGGCAACAGGGGTTTGGGGCCCATTATACTCTGCTTGTAATAAGGAACTCCCCAAACAGTATAGGTAATTCTTAAGAAGACTTGTGTGGATCAGCAGCCTTTGCTTTCGTTTGTTGCGGGGTGAGCATCGTTGAACCTCCACGATAAGGGTTCAACCAAAGCCTCTCACAGGCGAGGGTTGATACTCCAGGGCGGCATTCAGGATATAAGTTGTTGGGTTCAGATTTTTTCTGTCAGCATTGTTGCAAGGCGAGTACTGCGCAGGTGATTCCTTCAAAGAGTCGACTTATCAAGAACACTGCTAGACGGAGTATGGTGCCGTTTAGTATGAGACTTTTACTGTACCGAGATGTTAGTTTGGAACAAACTAGCCGGCACTGTTCGTGCGACCAAGGTAAGAAAATGACGCTTTACTGGCCGCATGCGTCTGCATGTATACACATATATACACATGTGTATATATATATATACATATATGTACGTATGCCGTATTTATGAAAGACATATATGAATAGTACATGATATGTAAAACGTGCACATGTAATGTGGTATATGTACTCGTTTATGATATACAGCACGTGCATATACGTCTATGTACATATGTGCATTATATTGTGTATATGCGTAGATCATGTGAAACCTATTGCGGAGCCGGGTCTGTGATTTTTTGCAGAAGCTTCGCCGAACATCGTGATCCCAGTCGTCAGGCTTCATGGGTGACACACCCTCAAGCCCCAAATCCAAAAGCCCTGTACCCCACCGTACCCTGAACAGTAAAACCCTTCGACCCTAGCACCGTAATTAGACCCTAGACCGTAAAACCTAAGCACTACACCGTCAAGCTTACGATCGAAATTGCGTAGAGCGGAGGCCAAAGATCAGAAGTCAGCCCAGAAGCCAGAACTCGGATCACAATGATTTGTCTCCTAAGCCATGAACCCCAGGCCCTTCCTCCCCGAGACCGAACAGATTCGTGAAGGGTTAAGGGTTCGTTTTCAGGGTTTGGGCTTTACCTTCGAGGGTTCTTCATGTATAATGCAAAGTATCGTCAGCCTTGTACAAGCCGTTTTCAGCCCAGGAAAGGAACCCTAGATAGTTCCTTTGGCAAATCCTCATAAGAAGGGATTTTGCGGCTACGGGCTGACACCTTCGAAGTGAGCGATCAGAGTCTTGAGGGCTTAGATTGCAGGCACGAGCTGTCTCAGAGATAAAAATATATCAATTGCAAAGCATCATGTCAGCTTAATGCCATATGCTACTCAAGCCCTGAATCCCCACATCGTTGAAACTTGATCTTAGTGCTCTCACCTCCACCCTACAAACTGAAAAACTGCCTTGAGAAAACTTTAAATTTTCCTCAACCCTAACCTTGAACTATCACACCTCCAACCCCCCCTGCCCTACAACTTCGTTTTATGGATCTAAGATTCGCCAAATGCTGGATGGTCTCGTGAAGGACACAGAGCGAGACCGAGCAGCAGAAGTGCTAAGACATGAACATCTGCAGGGATGGTACTAATAGAAAGTTGTTCTTCGAGCATTCCCGATTCCAAAAGCAGTATTACCATCGCTCGAATTGAGTGTACCTGTTAGTGATCGATGGTACCCATAAGACCAGACACATATCATACATATATATATATATAAAGTCTATTTCATATTGAACTTGATACAGACCTAAGTATGTGTACATGTATACATATATATATATATATATATATATATGGTCTAGATCACGAAAATTACAAGAGACATCAAAATACAGCACTTGAAGCCACGGCTTACAGCTGGGCAGCCATCGCAGTTATCGTTGCAAGTCTAAAGTACTACTCATTTCAGTACGTGCAATTATGTAGTATGGTTCGCTTATGTAGTATGAATCGCTTCTTGGTGTGCAATGCTGTTGCTGTTGCTGCGGCTGTTGCTAACACTGTTGCCGTGCTATTTCTGTGGCTTATAGCTTCAACCTAAGTCCTTGACCTAACACCACATACATACATATATATATATATATATATGTATATGTATGTGTGTATGCATGTGTTCGCCTTCTCTCTATCTCTATGTGTATGTATATGTATATATATATATGCAGGATATATAACCCGTGCCTACTTTCTGCACCCAAGCGCGACATTTCGCCTTATTCCAAGCCCTAAAGCCCAAACCCTGTATAAGCCAAGCCGGAAATCAACCTGTATCAGCCCCAATGCAAACCCTGTACAGACAAGCCTTAGGTTAAGCCCTACAGTAACCATATGAAACCCTAATCTCACCCTCCTATGATCCCTAGACCCCGACTATGTTGGCAAAGGACAAGGCTATGCGGCATTTCAGCCAGCGGCTACGGACACCTGGACTCTGAGGAATAAGACTTGCATGGGGTTGTTTAAGCAGCAACACGAGTTTGCCGATGATTTTATTATGTTTCACCGTAAAACTTCTGAAAAAGGTGACTATCGGAATTATGCGGATGTCTACTTTGGGGGCCTAGTAGCGTTTATAAAGGTGGAGGCAAGGGGTTGCCGAGAGTGTAGGGCTTTAAGGCTGTTGTGCCGAAGGATCGACTATTTGGTGTTTAGGGTTTAGAGCTTGGGGATTTCAAATTGAGTTTCAGCAAAAGGGCGTCCGGCTTGTATTGTGTTAACTTGTACCAGGTAAAAATCTTCATAGTTTCTGCCTATGCTTTGATTTCGGTTTCAGTGTTAGAGGGTTTCGGGGATTTCAGTTTTGGGCTTCGCTGATTGGATTTATCTAGAATCCTGTCGCAAGAAGGACAAGAAACATATAAAGAATCATAATGAGCTAACGGATTGATCAGACCGATGAACTCGATAAAGTGAAGCAGACAAATGAATGGATTAAGGTTATGGACTTCAATTAGTTAAGTCCGTTTACTTACCTACGAATGAATGCTTTAGCTCATTCTACCAGGTTCTACAATCAGTATATGTATATGTATCTATGTACAGATTTTTGGTTTTTAGGGCTTGGGAGGGTTTAGGGTTGAGGGTGTTAGGGTTCGGGGTTTAAGATTCTGGCTCAGGGCGCGCGATCGAGTCTGTCGTTAAGGGTGTACGGCTTGTGCTGAGGTTGGTTCAGAAAGATTCTTAAGAACCCTAAGCTCCAAGCCTAGAGCCTCTAGGGGAATAGCCCCCCGTATAAGGCATGGTTTCAGGCATAGCGAGATGGATGTCATCCAGGGGTCAGTGTGAGTGCAGATACGAAAGGATGTTCAGTGTAGGGTTTGGGTACCTGACCTTTTCCTGAAGTTGTTAACGGGCCGTGCATGCGCTGCGCAGCGCTTTAAGAACCGTAGCCCTAGCAAAATGCATCTACCTTCGCAAGGATTCGTGTCCAACTTGCGCTGGTACACTGATATTCTCCTAAACCGGTATTCTGGACCTCGATCCTTCGACCCATGTATCGTCATTATACCCAATGTACCCTACACCCTCACAAGCCAGATCAGGCAAAGCAAGATTTTCCGATCGGGAGGCTGCAAACAAAACTAGGCCTTGAAAGCACACAGGGGAAGCCAGTCGCAAGCCCCCACAAGATGTGGATCCAGCAGCCTTGTTATCCATCATTGGCTCAACATCAAACCCTTCGGAAAACAAAGGACAAGACGGCTGATGATGCTAGCGCTGTTCGGGCACGCCTCACCGTCCGGCAGCCTGACACAACCCTAAACCCTAAAGCCAACCTCTCCTCGCCCGCACACCCTCGCACCCGCCTGCCCCGCATGCATGCAGGCATGCACGTGCGTACCCGTTTGGTTTCCATTGTTTTGGCGCATGCCTGCGGCCATCCCAGTGCTGGCAATAACAAGAGAAGAAGAACTATCTTTATTAGCGAGACTTACTTTGATGATGATGATGATATCAATGCTAGTAACTTTTGATAGTGCTACTGATACCAGTAGCGATATTAACAGTAATGAAGACAATCATAATGATTGTTGTTGTTCCTGTTCCTCTTCCACCTGTTCAGTACAAGGACCTGGCGGCGCGCGTCTCGGTGCTACCGATCGCCGCGGGACTCGAGGTAGGGCTTTTCCTCAGAAAGGGACGGAGACTTCATAGGGATTCTGAAGGGATTATTCTGGGTTGAGGGTCTTGCGGCTTGCGTTGAGGGTGTAGGGTTTTGGACTCTTTGGAGGATGTAAGCGAAAAGTATACAACTTAGAGATGCGTGTTGCGTCGTTGGCAAAACAGGGTTGCTAACCTGGGGCAGGGGCCATAAACTCAGGGAGTATCAAATCAGGTTGTACATAAGGAATTTGTTGAGCGTGCAGGGGTAGCCATTGAAGTTTTTGAAGGGTTGTACGAGGGTTCTAGGATTACGCTGGTTTATGGGACTAGAACAGATTTGCAGGACTTAAGGCTGACCGTATAAAGGTTAAAAGCCTTCCATCCTTGTAGAAGAACAGATGTGCAGGGCTAAAGGCGGACTGCATAAAGGTGGCGAATATCGCATACGAAAGGTCATTAATCATGGTAGCATCCTGGGGTTGTGTATGCCTGCAAGGATGAATATAGATAATATCTCTACATATATGTTTTGCACACTTTTTCAGCCAGTCAAGCCAGCATGTAACGTTGATTCTAGGCAGTAATCTGATATGCGCTGATGATATATGAAGAGATACATGATACGACGACCGCAAATTGACGACGAGGAACGCTGGGAGACGACAACTCGGCGGTCCACCCGAAAGATACACAATAAATATTGACAACAACATGACGAGGGGACGTTGAGGGATGATAGCCCAACAGCCCATTGAATGATCTTGGAAAGATATTGGCGGCTGACTGATATGGATACCTCATATCTGAGATAGAACGAACTGACAAGATACAGATCGGGAATCCCGTGACGACAGAAGTGCTTGTACAGCTTCGCCTGGCATATATAGGTACTGCTACCACTACCACTACGACTTGCAATGCTACCACTGCCACAGCCCTCCACCCCCGCTACTTCGGGGGTTAAGGGTGTGGAAACTTGGGCTCTCAAAGGTTTGGGCTCTGGGTCTAGGGCCAGAGTCTTGGGCTTGCAGGGTTTGGGTTAAGGGCTTCGAGGAAAAAGTTTTAGGACTCAGCGGTTGGGCTGCATTTCCAAATTGCTTATTGACACAGCTTATGCCATGTGTGTGTCTCGCAGGGTTGCGAAGAAGTCGATCAACCTTACTGTTGATTAAGGGAAAGAAAGAATCGTAGAAACAGCAACTACAAGACTACTTCATTCTTTCATTCCCTTCTAATAGCCCCTATCACCTTGTTTGAGCCATACCATACTACTTTATTCCTTCACTTCCTACATAAAGGCTTTGAAAACCGAGCCTAACCCTGAGACCCAGACTCCTCAATTTTGGATCTGCCTCTAATCTCAAAAGTGTAAACCCTGAACCCTAAGCTTTAAATCCTAGATTCCCAAGCTTTCTGGTACTAGTGAGCGGCCTCCCCGCCCAAAACACCTCTTGATGGACTTTAGAGTTGCCTGAAATTCTGCATCCAAGATAATCAGCATAGACACAGTTATAAGTCTCAGGCTCATCCCGCCCCACTCCAAAAGCCTAAATCCTAAATCCTCAACCCTAAACCCCAAAACATCGCCGCAGGATGCAGATCAGCAGCGCTTTCAGACGCTTCTCGATACCGCCCTTCTGGGCTTCTGGGGCTGGCAGCGTTAGGGTCTGCGGGGTTGAGGGGTTGGAACAGGGTTTGCGGGGGGCTTAGGGCTTAAGGGCTCAGAGGGCTTAGGAAGAAGAAGAGGGACGCCAGGGGTCGAGGAGGGTGAAACGAAGAGGAAGGGAATACCTGATGGTGAGAAGGAAAGAGGCGAGAGGCCGGAAAGTTCGGTTTTTGGTCCGAGACCTGTGAAACAAAGTGGGGAGGGTGGGAGGGAGCAGGGCCAGAATGCTAATTGAGATCAGCGGTCTGGGTGTTTAAATAGATGAAAATAAATAAATATATATGTATATGTATATATATATATACACATATACATGCATATGAGTACTAATTGTTAAGGCCCCTATATTAGATTGATTTGAGGCCTCTACGCGTTTCCCATCAACCTCGGCCGATTCTCGGCCCACGGCCGCGCGCTGATCGCGCGGCGCGACATCGACGAAATCATCTCCAAGGCAGGGGGTTGTCCGGGCAATGGGTATATACGTATAGAGAGCATATCTATACATGTATTTATATCTCTATTTTAAATATATACATATATATATATATACATATGCATTCATGTACACACATGTGTTGTATACCCAGAAACTTTTCCTGCCAAACAATGTCTGGTTTCGTTGAAGAAGCGATTGTTGTTTGTTTATGTATGTGAGGACAAAGTGGTCTTGACTTTCGGGGTGTGGGGCCGCATCGATTGAAATCCCCCCAACCCAAACCGCCAAACCCCTAACTCCGAACCCAAACCCTGCTTGGCTTTTGGAGGCAATGGCTGGCCCAAACCAACAGCGGCAGAACATCGTTGCTGACCTGGCGAAGGATTCACAGGATGGCCATGGATTCACCAAGGAGGTGCCCACGAACCTTTTGATTTGGGGCCGTTTAGGGCTTGGGGTTTGGTTGTTTAGGATGTTCTGGTTTGGGCCTGGGGTTGGGAGTTTAGGGAGAGGTGGCCGGAGGTAGGGTGAGGGTTTCCTGTCGGTGCCTTTTCCATGTGGCCGAAGACCGGCACACGCGGAAGCCTGCGGCGCTCCTGCTGGTTGATAAAGGGAACTGGTACCTGGGACATAATGTAGGAGCGACAATAATCAGATTCGGGTTTGGGGGAGTTTGTTAAGGCCCTTACACTATGGCCCACGGAAACCTTGAGTTTGCGCCTGTACCCTGCGGCCTGGTACGCGGCCACAGGAGCCTGAAAATGCCCCCCTGGCTAGGCATAGAACTGCTACGGCATAGGATGAGGCGGCCCGGACTGGAGTACTGGGTGAGCTGCCCTACATGAAAAGGCCCATTATGCTCAAGCTTGAAGGGCCCAAAGTGCATGTACGAAACGGTTTACATAGATGCACTTTCTCAACCAGGCGAGTTAACGGCCTGTACACCATCGCTCGAGCCCGAGCCGACTGACTTCTATTCGATCCTCCCTACCTTTGCAAGCAATCAACGATATTAGATTCCGGCATGCTGCCCCTCATTTCGGTTACCCCATTTCGGATCGCTTTATGACCACTGCCCACACTCTCCCGGACTTTAGTGGTTATGGCAGGTTCGTGTTTGAAACCCACGACTTGATCAACCAACACAGTAGAAGTAGGCTCGCCGACTTTATAGGCGACAGCCCTCCATACAGAAAACAGCATAACCCTTTAAGAAGAAGCCCCCAGACCTTGCAGGTCACAGCCGACAGTAGGAAGGGCTGATTTTTGTAGGAAGTTCTAGATTTTGAAGAAGTTTGGAAGACATATCATCGGTGTTATGGAGTTTCAAACAACTACACAAAAACAGATTAAGATTCGGTCCGAATCTAAGCCCCAAATGCCAAGAAAGAGTTAGCCCTAAAACCCTTAATATCTTAAACAAGCCTGACACCCAGCCGTTGAGGAGATTTCGGACACACTGTTCAGTCTGCTGGTGGCGGGTAAGATGACAACCTCAGAAGCTTTTCCATTCTTGTTGGTGCAGCCGCCTGGCCAGCCTGTGGTTTTGTCAGCTTCGGTGTTTGAGATTTGGTGCTTTGGGGGTTTATGTGGTTTGGGGGTTTAGGGATATGTTTGTTGTGTTTCGAGGTCATGTGTTTATGGTATATGCAGGACTATCACTAACCATTATCAACGGTTACTCTAACAGTTTGATTAACTACTATGGGTTTGCGTGGCATTGAGCGGTTGCCAAAGTTGTAGTTGTGTCTTGTGTGTCTCAATTTTAGGACTTGGTTGCAGTTCAAAGCTAACTGTTACAGACCCCATACTGGATCCTGTCCCCAAAGCACATGTTCACGAACGGCAACAGCTGCCCCGGTAAGCAAATTAACGCAGCGCTTGGCTGTCATGCACGTGAGGCCAAGGCGAAGTATCTCCCACATAGAGAAGACAGACCAGCCCCACATGGTCAACCGCCACTACTGGGCAGGGAATTCCACTTGGTAGGGCATTCGTTACACACATGTGCCAGACGTCAGGCAACAACATAAACTTCAGGCTTTTGAAACTCTCATTTGCGAGCTCAGTGCCATGACATTGACGAATATGAGAACTAAAACTGGAAAATGATCTCGTGCCTGTAGCTGCATCGCATCCAGAGTTTTGGCTTGTGGTCCTTGGTTTTGGTTCATACTACCCGATTCACAGATTACATCTACATACACAGACAAGTTTGTAAATACAAGCAGATGTGTAGCGAAATGCAGATATAAATAAGCACATGTATTTATGTGTATATATATATATGTATATATATATATATATATATATATATATATATACATACATACATATACATATACATAGAAATATATATATATATATACATATGTATATACATATATATATATATATATATATCCAGCAACCCCCCGCCCCCTCCGTCGCCCCATAGCAGGCTTTGCAAACACCCGAGCTGGATCCCGCGCATCGCTGCGGAAAGCCTCGAGATGACAAACCCCGAGGACATCGTAACAGCAGTTAAACCCTACATGTTTTGAGCGCTCTGAACCCTAAACCTTCGGAGTGTTTACAGGGCTAGCCCACAAGAGGCCAGAAGTCCACGCGGAGAAAGTCTCGCATTTTGCGGGCCTACTCGCTTGCGCTGCTGCGGTTCCCCAATGCCCACCTGCAAGCGCAGGAGGCCGAAAGCAACGATATTTGGAAGAATGCGATTTCGAGCCACAACAGACACCCACTTCTAATAAGCGGCTTAACTGTCTGCCTGCCGAGCCCTTTGAATGGGAGATCCCCAATCGCTCACCGGGCCCCCAAGAAGTACAGAGTCTTCGGACCACCTGCAAGCTCTAAGACCCAAATCAATGATACAAAATGTTCCGTTTAGTATCTATTACTGTATGATATCATTTACATTACAATACAACAAATCACATTCTCATATCATACAATACAACGTAACGAAACCGAATGAAACATATCATAATATAGTACAATACAATTCCGAAACGAGGAGAATTCGGCCACTCTGCGCTTCGTGCGCGAGGCCTTGCGGTTGAAGCCACCAGCTGGCGCGTTCCGACGGGTGAACCGGAAGGAGGACGGGGAACGGACCGTTAACGTACCTTTGGTTAGTAGGGAATGGAAGCAGGGTAGTAATAGTAGTCATGATTGCGCCCCATTCCTCCATTCTCTACTAACCAAAGGTAAGTTGAGGGTTCGGTGTATTTCGGTTTACTTTTCAGCGGTCCCTGCGGATTTATCAACCCCTAATTTCCTAAAACGTTTCTGTGTTGGACTGTTCGGTAATCTCGGGGCCTTAGTAATTAGAATCGGGCGTTGGGGTTCCTGAGTAGATTAATAGTATAGTGTCCCCCAAAACCTTATTCTAATTATTCAGGCCCCTGTACTTCTGACTATTAAGACCCCTGCATCATAGTAGTACTCTTATAGTAGCGATGAAGATCAGGTAGATGCGTGCGATGTCGTACCTTTCACAGTTTCAGGTTTGGGGCCTAGGGTTTATGAGGTTGAGGGTTGACTTCGTTTAGTTCTGGCATTTGGGCTCTTAGTCTGTTGGGTTTAGGGTTCGGGCTGTGTCGCCTGGACCCCAAACACTACACCCTGATTTAGAACCTCTACGCCCCGAACTCATGCGTTGCCTGGCGCTGCTAGAGAGAGAGAGAGAGAGAGACTCGAAAGCTCTGAAGCAGGACCTGGACCTCGGGGAGCACGGCGTGGTGCCCATGGGCTGCCCTATGGCGATCGACCTCAGGGCAGACCTCAAGGAGATCCCATGAAGGGGCTCGTTTTCCGAGGCTCGACTGTTCAGAAGCTTCTGGGCTGGGGCCCTTCATAGATGGTTAGTACGTAAAGATCTGCATATATTAATGCATAGGAGTTTCCAAGGGCGTCACCGTCCATCCTATGGGCCTGACCCATGAGACCAGGCTCGACCGGATGCCGCGAAACGAACAAGAAAAGAGTTAAACAGACCCTAAGCAGGCTCCAAGCCGGCCGTGGAAACATAGACGTGCCTTATATCAACTCTCTGACCCTAGACTAAGTCGAACCTCTAAGCCGCCTGTAAGATGTTGAACTCTTCGGCCCCGAACTCACTTGACCTACAATGCCCCAAGGTGTTTCATTCCTCAACTCTAAACACTTTATTCGGCCATGACTTCTGGGACAGAGGTCCCTGACCATATGCGTCGCCTGGAGTGTCCGAGTGTGAGCGCCGAAAGCCTGATCCGTAAACCGTCCTCACTCTTCTGCCAGGACATGGGACAAACGTTCGATCCGGAGCGGTGGCTAACCGAAGCAAAGGACGGCCCGAGCGGAACACGGCGTTGAGGGTTGGGGTCTAGGACTCTAGGATTTACAGTGGGAGTTAGGGTTCAGGGTTTAGGGCGTAGGGTTCAGGGTTCAGGGCTTCAGCTGAGTAGTAGGTGTTGTTGTCGGTTCTCAGAACCTGTCCTTGTATACTGGGAGGCATTTTCTTCCTGTTGCGCAGCACAGAGGGTCATGCAAATCTATTCAATATCACCGGCGAAGAAGACAGCTAAGAACTTGTTTCTCACGGGCTATTCACTACACAACTACAACCTACTTCCTAGCTACTTACTATTGCCACTTACTACTTTCTATTTGCTGCTTACTACTTAGTACTTACTCCTACCTACGAATGACTAGCAACCACCAACTACGCACCACTGCGACCATACTCGTCAGGAAGGATCGTGGCCTCAAGGCTCGCGTTATCGACGTCCTCAACGCCGACATCCCGGCTCAGGCGCCCTCACCTGAGGCGCAGCCTTATGCCTTTGGGCTATAAGGGGCAGCGCCATTCCTCCGGCCCGTTTTCCAGTTCCTCGAGGTCGCCTGATGCTTGTCGAGGAACGACATGACTTCCAAAGTTTATTCCCCTGAAAGGAAGCGCTGCGACCGTCATTCTTCTTCCCATACTCCTCTTGCCACTGCCAGGCCATTAAGGTCATGGCCTCCAGGAGCCGCACCTTTTCATCCTCGATACACTAGAGGAGGGTCGCCCCTTCTGCCTCGCTCGAGACTTCGCCAGGCAGACAGCCACAAGCGCGCCGCTGCCGTCCAAACGAGACGCAGAGGGCTCGCCCCGTGCCGGCCGTGCATCGAGGGTAAGAACTCAAATTTCATAACAGCTCCCACCTGTGAGGAAGGCAATCCTCGGGACATCCAGAACGATTCCAGGTGCCCAATTGTTTCTCCTTTACCGCCACACACTCGCACAACCCACTACGACTACTACGACAACAACAACTACTACTTCTTCTTCTACTACTACTACTAACGCTGCTCGAACCCAGATACGGTTTCCAGCACTGCAAATTGAAGGATCAGAGAAGAGGTGCTACAGCGGGATCATTGTTTTACGCGGAGCTCATTGTTGGAGTCACTCAGTGTTTCTGTGAGTTTTGGTCCAGGTTGTGGGGTTTAGGTTTTAGGGTTTAGGGCTGTTTTGTGTTGGATACCTTCTTTGATAATTGCCTTATCACCAGCATGTGAGTACCGCGCTCCAAAAAAGAAAGGGTGCTCCTAGTCTTGAGATGCACTTCCATAATATTGCGAGCCACTTAACCAAGATCCATCAATCAGCCCCCACACGAAGACCTTGAGATCTAAGTCTAAGTCCCACAGTCGCAAAACCTCGGTGAATCTTGCGCAAAGCCTAATATGTAGTCTAATGTACAATGAATCCCAATGCAGGACAAGTTTACAGTCTTTGGCGGGAATCAGCCCCACGAGTGCATCGGGAAGCATTTGGCGCTGGTCGAACTGCAGCTCTTCGCGCGCATCCTGTGCCGCGAGTACAACTTCCAGGCGGGCATTAGCATTATTATTAGTATGAGTATTGTTAGCAATCAGTATTGGTATTAGTAATTATCAATAGTATTAGTACCAGTAATTGTATTAGTATTAGTATCATCATTGACCCTTTGCACCGAACCAGAACCACAGGGTTTAGATCCACAGGGCTTGTTCGACATAGTTGGCTTTTAGAAACGTTTACAGACTTTTAAAAAGTTTAAAATGCAAGAGAAAACATTCTAAAAACTTTTAAAAACTTTAAAAGACTTTTAGAAACTTTAGAAGACTTTAACAAACTTCAAAAGACTTTTCAAAACTTTAAAAGGCTTTTAAAATATTTAAAATATTTTTAAAAACTTTCAAAGACATGTAAAAGCTTTAAAAGACTTTAAAATACTTTTAAAAGCTTTTAACAACTTTTACAAACTTTAAACGACTTTGAAAGACTTTTAAAGACTTTAAAGAACTTTTGAAATTGATTAAAAACTTTAAAACACAAAAATTTCTACATTTTTAAATATTTTTCCAAGAAGACGAGGATGAAGAAGACCTGGCACAGGGTTTAAAGTTTCAGGGTCTTTAGGGTTTGGGGTTAGAAGGCAGAGTGCCATAGTATTAGGGGTATGAGGGTAATGAAAGGGTTAGGGTTAGAGTTTCAGGGTCTTTCGTATATTTAGGGTTTGGGGTTAGAAGGCAGAGTGCCATAGTGTTAGGGTTTGAGGGTAATGAAAGGGTTAGGGTTAGAGTTTCAGGGTCTTTAGTATTTAGGGTTTGGGGTTAGAAGGCAGAGTGCCATAGTATTAGGGGTTTGAGGGGAATGAAAGGGTTAGGGTTAGAGTTTCAGGGTCTTTATTATATTTAGGGTTTGGGGTTAGAAGGCAGAGTGCCATAGTATTAGGGGTTTGAGGGTAATGAAAGGGTTAGGGTTAGAGTTTCAGGGTCTTTAGTATATTTCGGGTTTGGGGTTAGAAGGCAGAGTGCCATAGTGTTAGGGTTTGAGGGTAATGAAAGGGTTAGGGTTAGAGTTTCAGGGTCTTTAGTATATTTAGGGTTTGGGGTTAGAAGGCAGAGTGCCATAGTATTAGGGGTGTGAGGGTAATGAAAGGGTTAGGGTTAGAGTTTCAGGGTCTTTAGTATATTTAGGGTTTGGGGTTAGAAGGCAGAGTGCCATAGTGTTAGGGTTTGAGGGTAATGAAAGGGTTAGGGTTAGAGTTTCAGGGTCTTTAGTATTTAGGGTTTGGGGTTAGCAGGCAGAGTGCCATAGTGTTAGGGTTTGAGGGGAATGAAAGGGTTAGGGTTAGAGATTCAGGGTCTTTAGTATATTTAGGGTTTGGGGTTAGAAGGCAGAGTGCCATAGTATTAGGGGTTTGAGGGTAATGAAAGGGTTAGGGTTAGAGTTTCAGGGTCTTTAGTATATTTAGGGTTTGGGGTTAGGAGGCAGAGTGCCATAGTGTTAGGGTTTGAAGGTAATGAAAGGGTTAGGGTTAGAGTTTCAGGGTCTTTAGTATTTAGGGTTTGGGGCTAGAAGGCAGAGTGCCATAGTTTTAGGGTTTGATAGTATTAGGGATGCACAAATCGCGTGAAGTGGCTACGAACTGATGGATGTTGCGCTTTTCTGCGTTGACCACACTGTCAAGCGAATCACGTGCAGGCGAAGCAGGGTACAGCTGGGTGACGCGACAACGTCTGGCACTCTGCCTTCCCAGCTGCTGGCCCTCTGCCTTCCCGCCTCAAGATCCATTAATTATTGCCATTTGGAATTCATCCCCAACTTTGCACGAAGCTGGTCGGTCAAAGGTATTGCTCCAGCATCAAGGTCAGGAAGTTCCCCCGGACCACCGAGACGGATGGCAACAAGTGAGAGGGGTTTCATCTGAAGGACAAACTGCAGTTGTTGTTCATCTTCGTCGTTCCAAACATAAACAAAATCACAAACGAGAGAAACGCGCGGCAACTCCAGCGGTTCTTCTCCTTCACCCACCTGATAAAACTTCGGGAAGGGGCCTTGGTACCGTCGAAGAAGCCTGAGGCCTCCTGTAATGCGGGAGCCAATACGTGGCCAGTAACGCAGGTAGCGAACCATGATTTCCCAAGGCACGTCGTCATAAACTTCATTCCATCTCTCAGCTGGTTTCCACTGGTCAGGCGCTTTGGCCAATTTTTCGCAAGCGGTTTTGATCAAGATGGGGGAGAGCTCGCCTCTGAAGAAACACTCTCCTCGTTCGATCGGGGCGAAATGCATTGCTCTGGACGGCTACTGTTCAGTCACAAGCACGCACGGCTTCAAACCACATGTGCTAGTTTGTGCGGCTTCCGGGTTGTGGCACTCGAAATGAGTGTCCATGTGCTTGCACGTGACAAATTCCACATGTGTGAAAATGCGAACATGCTTTCGCAATCCGTCTTCCCCAAGCAGAAACACACAGTCTCTCGGACGCATTCCAATCTAGCAGGACCCGCTGCCATCAATGCAAGCACACAGACAGACACACAACTTTTCTTTGCAGCGCAGGATGAATCCTCTAGTTGTTGCCAGGCCTCCTGGTCGGGCCACAACAGGGCCTATGGTCAATGCCGTGTTGTCTGGCCTGCGCTTCTGTCATCTTGGAAGCCACACGTCCCCAGTGATAGGGTACGAGGTGGCTCCACTCGCCTTCAATGCCAGACACACATGGGTTCATGTAATGTGACACAACACACAGCAGATCAGGCAACCACATCGAAGCTATAAAAAATGTTCCGAATCTTTCCAAGAGACCGCCGTCTGTCACACGAACTCGGAGAAACAATTTTGCTTTGTCAGTGCCACCAGGATTCGGGTCGTACTTCATCTCACCAGCGATCTTGGGACACTCCGGGCATTGAACAGGTGTCCATACCCCTTGGTAGTCAACACGGTTCGGCCGCCGCTGATGGTGGGGGCCACGGACTGCAACCTCCCGTGGCTCGAGTGCTGGGATAGGCACTGCAGGCACCTCCGGCATCTCAGCAGGAGGGGCTGGCACTCTGCCTTCCTCGGGCTCCACGTGATCATCAGGCTCTGGGACAGGGATTGCAGCAGGCACCTCCGGCATCTCAGCAGGAGGGGCTGGCACTCTGCCTTCCGCGGCCTCCACGTGAGTATCAGGCTCCGGCTCCACCGGCACCTCAGCAGGAGGTGCTGGCACTCTGCCTTCTGCTCCCTCTTGACCACTTTCATCAGGAGGCGCGGGTTGCTTCCTGGGAAACATACGTGGGCGACAAATCTTTCTCTTGGCTTTCCGTTTGGCCTGTGGCTTGGCCTTTGCTTTGGTCTTTGCTTTGGCCTTGCCCTTTGCCTTGGCCTTTGCTTGCTGCGTCTTGATGGCCTGCCAGGTTTGATGCACCCTTTTGATTCTGCGTTTTCTGACTGCGTCTGAGACCATTTTAAATACCTGTTTGTCCTCAGCAAGCAGGTCGTCAAGAACCAGCTCATCAACAAAGTCCCCCATGATAATGTCATCCTCATCCTCATCCTCTGTTGAATCTTTGGCTGTCGAATACATAGCCTCAATTTTGCGCATGAAATCCTCATCTTCCGGAAGGTGTTGAGAAGCGATCAGGCTCATGAGCTTTGGACGGCGCATTCGTTGCAGCTCCTTTCGCTTTTTTTCGTCTACGTTTCCAGTCTGGGAGATCACATGCTCGGCGAGATTCTGGCAGTCTGCGAGAGTCCGACATGCTTGTGACATTTCCCTCAGTCGAGTCAGCAAAACAAGCACAGCAAAACTTATATAAGTTTATTGTACTATTTACTGTATGGGTCGACAGTTGACAGAATCCTAAATGAAAACATGTCACTTGGGATGCTGCAACATATAGGATAGAAGTGACACTGAGCTTGTAGCACAACGACGGAGGCAAATGAAGCCATTCCAGAAGACTGCCTATGTTTCGATGACTTCCCAATACTGGGGCTCATACAAATGAATCCAGCAGGCCTTGACGCTGGAACCATCCGGGCACTCTGCCTTCAAAACAAAATATATCTCTCCTGTCGACTGGTCCTCATGCTGGACCACTGGCCACATGAGAGCAGCCCAGGTTTTTGCCCCAAGAGAGAGATAGCATGTCAAAGCCAAGACATGGTTCAAGATCTTCAAAGGGGCTGCAAGGCTGCTAAACTTCCCAGCACGCAAGGGAACATGCTGAGATGCCAGTCTTGCATCATTGTAGTGAATTAGCCATGACCACGCAGCTGATGCTCGTTCGAGTGTCTCTTCTGACAGGGTGTTCCATGTCTTGTCGCGGACAATCTCGGTATACTGTGACGGCAGCTTGTGGACACATCCTCTGAAGCACAACTTTTGGCGCTTCCTGTCCACATTCCAAAACTCCCTTTCAAAATATTCCCGTTTGACTTTTGCCGGATGCCTGATTGAACGGCTTTCAAAGACGTTTGAATTTTCGATCACAGTTTGAATCGTGGAGTATGTTTGCTTGCGGGTTTTGTTCAACAAAGAATCATTACGAATCTTGTTGTGCACATCTTCCACAATCTTGTTGTCTGGCAGCGTCTGCACCAGAACACTCAGCAGGTGGGTTGCAGGGCATGCTGGTACCGATATTGTTACAGTCCTTTGAGCAGGCACTCTGCCCTCTTGCCCGTCTAACAAAATGTCACCAACTCCGGCACCGTCATCTGCTTCTTCAGGCACAGAATCCTCCATCTCCCCGTCCTGCTCTGTGTCAACATCATCCACGACAATGTCTTCTGACACCGGAGGCGCCACTTCATATCCCTGTGCCTCCAATGTGTCCAGAAAAAGTCTCGAAGGATGGCTGATTCCAACTTGCAGGTCTGTGAAGAGTTGCCGGGCATGAACACTTGGAGTGGACCGTGCCAATGTCGAATCCAACCTCAAGAGTGATGTGTGATGGCCCTTTGCCTTCAAAGCCGTGATCGTCCGAATTTCTGCATCAGGTGACAGCAATCCCGCATAGGCATCTGGTGGAAGTGAAAAAAGACTGCAAGTCCAGACCCTGTTCATCAGCAAATGCAAGCTCAACATCATGATTTTTTCTGCGGGCTCGTGTACATCAGTATCCAG